TCCTTCCTTTGTAAATTACCCAGTTTCAGGTATACTGTTATAAGTAACAGAAAATGAGCTAAAACACATGCCAAGAAAATTCAAAGACTGCGAAAGTAAAATAAAAATAGAAAATGAACAAGTAATTTTGCAGATGAGTCGGGCTTTATTATAAGTGTATTGTTAAAGTGATTCCCTTGGTTATGAGATGAAAAAGTGCCAAAGTAGATAGAAACATTTTCTTATCTTATCTTAATATCCCACTACATTCAACGCAAATATTCAGTCAGTCTCTAGAACTGAACAAGGCCTTGGAGAGTATATCCTTTGGATAAGCAGTGGAGAAGACAAGATAGATTGGAAAAAGAAACAGTAAAACATATCAGAGGCTATCAAGAAGTGTGTAGGAAAACTCTGGAGACAATGTCAATATAAAGCAGAAAGATACAAACCTCAAAATAATTTTAATATGCGCATTTCACAAAAATGGATTTCTTGTCATGTTACAAATTTATTTTAAAACATACAGGAGGCAATAACTATTTCATTGATGCATACTATTTTATGATTGTTGGCTCTATTTTTATTTGTTGGGCTCTTACCTCTCCTCTCTATGTATTGACATCCAATTGTGTTGTTTCTGTAGTACTGTACAACTGCACTGAAATCATTTCAATTAAATGCGTGGTTGCAAAGCTGACATAATACCTTCAATTGCCAACGTGTGTAAAGTGAATAAGCTATTTAATAATTTGGAAAAAACATATTCCATTTAAACTTCCTTCTCTATAACCAGTTCAATATTCTGGACCTTTTGGGTACAGCCATTTGAGAGCTTTTCAAAACTTTTCACAACATTTTTTTTTTTTTTTTTTTTTTTTTTTTTTTGAGATGGAGTCTCTCTCTGTCGCCCAAGCTGGAGTGCAGTGGTGTGATCTCAGCTCACTACAACCTCCACCTTTTGGGTTCAAGCGATTCTCCTGCCTCAGCCTCCCGAGTAGCTGGGATTACAGGCACCGGACACCACACCTGGATAATCTTTGTTTTTTTCATAGAGATGGGGTTTCACCATGTTGACCAGGCTGGTCTTGAACTCCTCACCTCAAGTGATCCACCCACCTTGGCCTCCCAAAGTGCTGGGACTGCAGGCATGAGCCACTGAGCCCACCCACTATAGATTTTTATCTGTAGTAGATTTAGTTCAGTAGGGCATTTGAGAGGTGTGGGAACTGGAACAAATCCTTCACTGTTTGGGACTGCCTTGCATATTGTGGGACATCCAGTAGAGCCCCTCCCACAAAGTGACAGCAGCAGCCTCAGGCGGCTCAAACACCCTGTTCGGGATGGTGCCACTCCCAGGAAGGACCACAATCATAGGAGAAGCACAGAACAAACGTGGTGTTCATCGGACCGGCAGCTTCAGTGGCACTTTTGAGCAAACGTGCTATTTGGTTGTAGAATGAGTCCCCAGTGGAGCACCTGAAAGGCGAAAGTCTGCCATGTGACTCATCCCTAAGACCTGTGTGAATGCTGAAGGCCCCTCCTTCTCCAAGCCGAGTGGCAGCTTTCCAGTACAGACTACTTAAACTGTGACTTCAGGAATTTTCTTCACTTTTTCCTTTGAGTCATTCCTTTTTTGATCAAGCTGTGACAGACTGAAGGACTCTCTCAGGGTCTGCTGTCACATCCTTCCTTCAGGAACAGAAAGAAAATCTGGCCTGGCTTGAAGAGTTTGTCCTCAAGCATCTAGTAAGCCATAGGCATCAGCACCTCTCACTTCTCCAGGACACTGAGATGTACCCCCCCATGGAGTCTGGAAGCTCAGACTTGCTGACAGCACTTCAAGACTTGGATAATGACATATAGTTTTTTTGTTTCCATCTTGGGGATGTGGAGCAGCCTCCAGAGTTGCAAAAGCCTGCCTCGTTGCAAGAATATTTTCAAAGACCCTCATGGTCTGCTCACTTGCTCTGTGCTGCTGGGCACAGTGGTGTGGCCGTCCAGGGTGGCAGAGACCACCTGGGATGTGGAAGTTACCAGCACCCTGTTTTGCTCTTGCTCTTTAGCAGCGGTTGCCAAAGCACATGAAGCATTCTGGGAATCTGGATTTCTACTGTTTCTCCCAAATGGGCCCTGAAGGGCAACAGGCAGCAAACATGGACTGCATTTTGCCAGAAAAGTCCAGAACGAAGATGGCTGCTGTTATCAACTATTGGCATTTCAAAGGGACCCTATTTTTATTTCTCAGTGTATTTGCACAGCTAGGAAGCATCTGCTGACAAGGATGAGATGATAAGCTGTATTGATGCCAAAACAGGACTAGAAAAACAGGCTTGTTCTGCAAATGGCCTGCACCCTGAGAGTCCGTGTAAGAACACTCTCTCTGTAGGCAATATCTGCTCTTAAAACATTAACACTTGAAAGGAAGGAAGGCCTGGAACCTTTAACATAGTCATGCATATACTAGGTTCTCAGTAAGTGCATGCTGGAGGAAGGAACCCACAAGCACCTTAAGGCGATGGAACATTGCAAGCCCAAGAAAAAATGTCACTCCTCAGAGGCTGAGTGCCATGTCTTTGACCTCCACTGGCAAAGTCATGGAGAAATGCCAACTCTCGGGGTCACTGAGGTCCCAGCACAGTGTGCCTTCGCACTGTGTAAACAATAAGAAGAGAAGTGATACACACATGTCACCTTCCCACGCAGGGACCTCCAAGCCGTTTGAGTCTCTGTTATGTGGTTTCCTTGAAGAAGAAAGGGATTATTGGTGAATAAGGCCGGCATCCTGGGTGGGAATAAGAAAGGAAATTGGTAGAAAGTACATCAGCCAAGTTGGACTAAGTCAACTCTGTGGCTTGGGCGGGTTCCTAGGATATCCAGCCGGGGCAGGGGCTCTAGGCGATGTGAGGCTGCACTGTGTTTGATGACACAGAGGACTGTGAGAGGCAGAGATGAGGGAAGGTCAGCTGAGGCCCTCCCAGCCCTAATCCCCAGTGCACACTCTCTACTGTCTGCCACCTCCAGGCCAACACCCCGGCCACAGGATGTTTGCCCATTTTTCTGATAGACACATTTTTTCTCTACCAACAGCCCACATGGAATACAAGTGAAGTAATTCAGCAATTTCCTTCTTAGCCTGCTGTCTCTCTGCTGCTTACTCATTCTGTGCTGTTTGCTTTAGATCAGAGTGCCCCAGGGTACCAAAAGCTACACTGAAAGTTGAATCCTATTCAACTACATGGAAGTCAAGATCCCAACCATTCTGGTTTTGTTGTTATTGTTATGTTTGTTTTAAAGCTTAGCCATTTTCCATTTAGGCAATTACAACTCTGTTTACTGTAAGTTCCTCTCTGTAGGTGTTTCTCCCATTCCCAACCTACGAACTGCTACGTGAGCAGTAACTTGTCACCATGTTATCCCCATAAAGTCAGGGATTGATAAACTTGGGAACATTTAGCTCTTGAAGGTGCTGATGAGGAAGGCGAGAGGGCAGAAGAAATGGATTTGTGAGATGGTCAATGGGCTGAATAGTGGTATGACCAAAAAAGTGTTGCTATAAATACACATAATCTGGAAAACAAAAATACTGTCATTGCTCCCTGCAAGGAGTGTGGTTACGCAGGATGGAGTTTATTTCTGGAATATTGGAAAATGCATCCTTGTAGTCCCCAAAAAGCCTGTTTCATTCTGCCCATCTCTTGTTCTCAGTACATCTCACCTCACCGTCACTCACTTTCTTCCTGCCCTTGGGTTGAGGTCACAACTGCTTTTAATAGACTTTTTTCAGCTACAGGTGACAGAAATCCAACTCACATTATGTTAAGCAAAAAGGGGATTCATTGATACATGTGTTAGGAAGGATATATGAAAGGTTAAAGGTCAAATAAAAAAACGTAAGAATTAAGACCTTGTGACTACTACCTACTACCTGGATCTCTCTTCTCTTCTCTCTCTCTCTCTCTTTCTCTCTCTCTCTCTCTCTCTCTCTCTCTCCCACCTCTCTCCTCCCCCCCCCAAACATACTATCACCTCTGCTTGTTGTCAGTAGGTTCCTTTCTGCAGACAGGAGTTCCATGTGCTGGGAAGAGGGCCATTCAGAGCCCTGTAGTCTCAGCCTCCCAGTTTCGCAATGCTAGGGGAAAGAACGTCTATCTCACAACCTCATATACAATCTCAGAAATAGGCTCTTATTTTCTGGCTTGAGGCTACTACTTTCCAGAAGCACCGGGCACTGTGATGGTCGCACCTTCTGTCCCGGGTCTATCTGTGGCCTAGAGAGCAGGATGTATTTCAGAAAACAGGCAAGAGAGGAAAAGTACATGTGGCTGTAAAAAAGTGATTTTCAAGGTGGCCTATACCCATCCATGTCATACACTTTTCTGCTGAGGGTGGAAAGTGCTTAGACTTCAAATTTGATCTAAAACAGAAATCTTACTTGGAAAAATCACCCTCCAATCACTTAGCGAATTGCTCATCATTCTCTGACTCTCACCACGAGTTTCACACATCTCCCAAGAGAGCGTCTCCTTTATCATTACCAGATGTGGAGTCAGCAGATTATCTTCCATCTAAGCTCTGCCTACCTACTATCTGAGTTCCCCAGCAGGTTACTGACTTTCTCTGTCCTTTAGTTCCTTGATGTGAAAAGGAACAACAGTGGCTGCTCACAAGTTTGTCAATTACATGGTCAATTACATTACATGAACAATTCATGTTGGTGTCAGACCTGTCTGAGAAAGCATGGCCCATGTGGCCATGACAGTCCCAAGGCTAACAGCCCCTTTGTGGGTCCTGGCTCACACAAAGGAGCCCCCCTTGGTTTTCTGGTGCTCTGAGACTTGCATATGCATTAGGAATTTTACATTGTAATTCAGTTTCAAATGGGTCCAGAACATCCACATTGCCAGATTTCTGTGCTAGGGAAGGGCACTGGCTCATTATTACATCCCATGAACACTCTGGGTCTCCTAGACCTCATCCTCTTTGAGCTTGTCTCTCTCACTCTCTCTCTGCGCATTCAGGAGTGTACACATTTCTGTCCAGCACCCTGAAGTCTCTGGAAGAGAAGGACCATATCCACCGAGTCCTGGACAAGATCACAGACACTCTGATCCACCTGATGGCCAAGGCAGGCCTGACCTTGCAGCAGCAGCACCGGCGGCTGGCCCAGCTCCTCCTCATCCTCTCCCACATCAGGCACATGAGGTGAGGCATCTGCGGGCTTCCTACAAAAGAGACATAAAGAAAACATGCTCCCAAACCTATGTGACAGCTGGCCGGGAAGAACTGACACCTGCATATGGAGAACGTACTTGTGACAGTTCCTGGTACAGAATAAGCATAAATGCTATGGGAGGACAGAAGAGAGAGATTTTAAATGTGTATGGGTCATGGGGCAGGTGTCAGAGAAGGCATAGAGGAAGTGATACTTATGCTTGGTTTAAAGCATGTGCTTTCTGGCAGGGGTCTAGAGATTGGGTGTGGTATGGAAACAGGAGGGGGGAGCCAATCAGGAGAAGTCTGTGAGCCCACACATTCCCTGAAGACACTGGGAACATCTGTTATGGTCCCTGTTTACACTCAGATATCCTAAATGAGAGACCCTGGGGCCAGATGCCTCACAGAGAGTCAGTGTTAACTCTTTCATATCTGTTGAACCCCGTCTGGTCACCCCCATTGCCATTACCCTAGTCTAAGTCACCATCATTTTCTGCTGGACTTCTCTGCCAGCTACCAAACATGTATCCCCACCTTTAATCTAGATCCTTTCTAGATCATACTCCATGATGTGTCTAGAGTAATCCTTCTGGATCCAAATCTGATGTCATCCTCCTGCTTAAAACCCTTCAGTGGTTTCTCATTACCTTTAGGTTAAAGTATAAACCCTATCACTGTGTTTGTATTACTCCTTATGACTCAGCCTTCACTTAGCTTATGAGGACTTCCTCGTATCTGAGCTCTAGCCATAATAGCTGACTGCTGGATGAGTCATCTGGGAGGTTATTCAGGCTTCAGATTGTTGGGCAGCCCTCTTGTCCTCAGCTGGGCTCACTCACACATCTGGGAGGCAGCTGCTTGAGGCCAGGATGACTCTGCTCCATGTCTCACATCTCCTATCCTCCTTGTACCCATATGTTTGCTGGGACATGTTCTCATAGCAACAGCAGGGGCACCAGAAAGTGATCCTGTCTGGGCAAATGCATTTTACTCTTTAACTCATATCCACTGACATTTCGTTGGCCAAGCAAGCATGTGGGGAGCCCAAAGTCAAATTTGGACATGTTGCTGGGGAAGTGAATATTTCTGAGCAATAATCTAACCTATCACAGCTCAGATCTCACTCCTTGCCAGAAGCATCTCCTAACCCTTAAGAAGTAGTTATAACTTACACCCTGTTCTTCTCTGTGGTTTCTACCCATTTTACTATTGTTCTGCCCATTTAGACTGACAACTCTGTAAGCCAGCATTGCAATCTGGCTTGCTTACTCTGTGTACCCAGTATCACCTAGCATGGTGCAGAGCACATAAGAAATACTCAACAAATATTTTCTGTAACAGCTAAGAAGGACATCAGCAGAGAAAATAGAGTCTATGCCAAAAGGTGACAGTGGACTCATTTCCATTCCATTGTTTTGCAATGTGGCTAGCCAAAAGCTTAGTGGATACCATTCTCATAAGTAGACCTCATCTGCCGGGAAGAGATGGGGAGAATGGTGGGTTCTTTATTGCAGACTCCAGCAGGGCCACAATAATGATTGGAAGTGATGACACTAGAAGGACAGGTACCAATGGGTGATGAAGCCACAATGATGATATCAAGCGATATCACTAGAAGGACATGTACTCATGGGTGATGAAGCCTACATGACCTTGGGCTTACACCAGGACCCTAGGAATGAAAGAGATTCCTTCTCTAAGTGGCTATGAGAGAAGGTCTATGATGTCTGAAAGAGGTTGGATTTGATTATTTTTAAGGGACTTTCAATTTTGAGATCATGATTCAGATGGCAAGAAGTTTGTTCCATTAAAGTCCTGGGCACCACCCTTTCCAGAGACACCCTTAAAAAATTATTAGCTCTTGGGAAAATAGATGTGTCTTATTTTCTTTGTATCACTCAAAGTGCCATATATGAAGACTTATATATGGTATACACTCACAACATTACTACTGAGTGAATGAACAAACAAATGAGGGAATGAATGAATGAACAAATGATTCATGGAAGGCTTTTACCTGCCTTGTGAATTTGGCTTCTACTTGGTAAGAAGGTGATTGCAATCTTTGTTCTCAGGGTTCCCCAAGGATCCCTGTGTAACAGACGAAGGAATCACAGCTGTCAGGTAGAGTAGGTGACTGCATTCAGAGTATCTTTCCTTTTCCTTTTGATGAATATTATAGAGAGGGAAGCTATGAATGGATTAGATGCCAAAATCCCTGGCTGAGAGTATAACCTTACCCTGGAAGAAAACATATTAGCTTTGACTCTGAGCTAGGAATTTCAGTGATATTGTAGATTCAATACTTTGCGGTTGAATGTTTTTATTTGTTGATAGGAATTGCTGAATTTTCAAATCCATTAACTGCTTGTCAGCATTAGCAAGCCTAGCTAGTTAATACCAAGTAAATCTGCACTAAATATACAACCCTGGGTGATTTTACTGGCCACGTCTGGCAGAGGGCAGCAGCAGGGAGAAAGCTCTGAAGAGTTTCTGCTGGAATAGTATGAAAAGCTGGAGAGAGGTTGCTATTCTACTGAAAGCTTTGAACCCTCTCTCCCTCTTTCTTTCTGTCTCTATCTCTGTCTCTGTCTCTCTCTCTCTCTCTCTCTCTCTCTCTCTCTCTCTCTCTCTCTCACACACACACACACACACACACACACACACACAACAATATTTCAGTTCCTCACTACAGCCAATCTAAATCACAGAAGTCTATTTTGTTAAATAATCTTGGCCCCAGACATATGTTGCTACGCAGAGAATTTAATACCAGCTTTCATCCAACTGTAAATGTGAATCATCAGTTTGCGGGAGGAAGACACTGGCAGATCCAGGGGGCATTTAACTTTTACGGCATTTTAAATGAAAAAAAATTTAAAAATCAACACTTAAACAAGTAATTCAGATCATATTGTAGGCCCCGAATAGCTCTGATGCTGTGTTTTCATGGCAGGTCTCCAACTTGAGCTGAATTGTCCCCTACTAAAAACACAAATTTTTCTGAGACATTCTCTTGAAATTTCAAGCTAGGTAATAGTTGTTCTCCCCACAACTCCCACCAGCAGTAGCGTGGTAGGGACAGCAGAATTGTGGCTAGTGGAAGACAGCAGAGGAGGAGAGTAGGGAAAGGAGAATGCCATTCGCCTACATTTCCCTGTGCCCATCTCCCCCCTTTTTCCTGAACATTAACCAAGTTCTGGGCACTGTTTTAGGCTTAGCAGAGGGCAGGATAAAGCCTGCTTCTCCAGGAATTCGCACGGAGTGTGAGTGTGTGCATGTGTGTGTTTAGAGGTGAGGAGAACAGACACAAATAAATAAAAAGGAGACATTCAGGTAGCGATAAGTGTGATGAGAAAAACAGAACAGTGTGAAAGAGGAAGGAGATGGCAGAGGCATGAGGCTGCTGCCACTGGGTAGCAGTGGGCCTTTCCGAGAAGGTGGCATTTGAAGACGGGAGGGAGATGCATCCCAGGAAGTAGGAATAACAAGTGCAGGTCCCCTAAGTCTTGGGAGAGATTAGTTTTTTTAAGGGAAGCCCAAAAATCAGTGTGGCTAAAGAGAGTGGGTTAGGGGAGACAGGTAGGAAGAGCTTGGAGAAGTGGATGGAAGCTGGACCCCTTGGGCCTGATAGAGCGTGGAAAGACATTTAGATTGTATGCTTTTTTTTTTAGACAGAGTCTTGCTCTGTCACCAGGCTGGAATGCAGTGGCACAATCTCAGCTCACTGCAACCTCCGCCTCCTGGGTTCAAGTGATTCTTCTGCCTCAGCCTCCCAAGTAGCTGGGACCACAGGCGCGTGTCACCACGCCCAGCTAATTTTTTTGTATTTTTAGTAGAGACAGGGTTTGACCGTGTTGGCCAGGATGATCTCAATCTCTTGACATCATGATCCACCTGCCTCGGCCTCCCAAAGTGCTGGGATTACAGGCGTGAGCCACTGCGCCTGGCCCTAGATTGTATTCTGAGTTAAATGGGCAGTGACTCGAGAGATCTAACAAGGGAGTATCTTGATCTTGAACTGCGTTACACATTTAAAATACTCACCCCTGCTTGGCTGGAAATCTCACGTTCTCCTTTTAGATGCACTGGCAATCCTACCTGAAGGCATTTGGATCGTATTAGAGGGGAACAGGATCTCATTTGAGGCTGTGGAAGGCCATGGAAGTCACCCGCATAGCAAATACCCTGAAAGTGGCTGCAGGGAGAGTGTGAGGGTGGGACTGCCCTCGTAGGAGGTGGGACATGAAAACCACATAGCGATGAGTTCCAGATCAGGGCCTCTGAAAGCCCTCAGCTTTCCCAGCTGCCATCCTAAAATGAGTCTTTAAACAGGAAGAAACATTGGCTAGTAAGTGTCGTGAGAGTTCGTCTTCCTTCCCCTTCTAGGGATTTCAGCCCTTCTGGAGCTCCGGTTGGCTCTAAAGTGGTCCTTTCTGTGTCTTCCCACCCACAGTAACAAAGGCATGGAGCATCTGTACAGCATGAAGTGCAAGAACGTGGTACCCCTCTATGACCTGCTGCTGGAGATGCTGGACGCCCACCGCCTCCACGCACCCACTAACCGCACAGGGGTGCCCATGGAGGACACGGACCAAAGCCACTTGGCCACTGCAGGCTCTACTTCATCGCATTCCTTGCAAAAGTATTATATCACGGGGGAGGGAGAGGGTTTCCCCACCACAATCTGAGAGCTCCCCGGCTCCCCGCAAGGGTCAGAGAACCCCTGCAGCATTTTACCCTCATCATGCACCACTTTAGCCAAATTCTGTCTCCTGCATACACTCCAGCATGCATCCACCACCAACGGCTTTCTAGATGAGTGGCCATTCACTTGCTTGCTCCGGTCTTAGTGGCACATCTGTCGTCTTCTGTTGGGAACAGCCAAAGGGATTCCAGGGCTAAATCTTCATAATAGCGCTCTTTCCCCCTTTGTTATGTTACTAAGCGTGAAGATTCCTGTAGCTCTTCACAGCTGAACTCAGTCTGTGGATTGGGGATCAGATGACTCTGTGCATTTAAGCTACTTGTAGAGACCCAGGCCTGGAGAGCAGTCATTTTGCCTCTGATAAGCACTTTTTAAATGGCTGTAAGAATAAGCCACAGCAAAGAATTTAAAGTGGCTCCTTTAATTGGCGACTTGGAGTAAGCTAGGTCAAGGGTTTATTTTAGCATCCTCTTTTATTCCTATGGCAATGCATCATTTTATGAAAGTGGTACACCTTAAAGCTTTTATATAACCGTAGCAGAGTATCTGGTGATTTTCAATTCATTTCCCCTATAGGAATACAAGAGGCACACAACGAAGGCAGATACCCTAGTAGACAAGACTATTTTAACTTGATGCACTGCAGCTTCAGATGTACCGAAAGCTCTGCCACTGGCTTTCCAGTCGTGGGTTCCAGTTAACGCGTGCTTCCCATGGACCTATGGAAAGCAGCAAGTTGATCTTACTTAAGTCTCCCTATATGAGGGATGAGTTCTTGATTTTTTGTTTTTACTTTTGTGTTATAAAAGGAAGCCCTCCTTTCCTAAACATGCAGTAAAGTCAGCTTCAGGACCTGTTCTGGTGGGCGCTGTGCTTGGATCTTTCCAACATGTGTGTGCCTTACACAGCGGTGGACTTTTCACTGTGGCGATGCATGATGAAGGTAAAAGGTAGTTTAAAGGAGCAGGGGCCCCGGTGATGCATTTAGCCCTGGGGCATGGAGCCAAACAGTGCATGAGCAGGATCGTTGTGGCTACTAGAGAACAAGAGGGAAAGCAGGGCAGAAACTGGATACAGTTCTGAGGCACAGCCAGACTTGCTCAGGGTGGCCCTGCCGCAGGCTGCAGCTACCTAGTAACATTCCTTGCAGACCCTTCATTGCCTTTTGGGGCTGCCCTGGGATCTCTGGGGTAGTCCAGCTCTTCTTCATTTCCCAGCGTGGCCCTGATTGGAAGAAGTAGCTGTCACAGCTGCCATAGACAACTGTGTTCCTACAATTGGCCCAGCACCCAGGGGCAGGGGAAGAGGGTGGGGACCGTTGATGTCACTACTCAGGCTGACTGGGTCCTGGTCAGATTACATATGCCCCTGGTTGTTCAGAGCTAATCCAAAATCAGGGTTTGGTTTTGAGAAGAAAATACCCCCTTTCTCCCCTCCCCATTGTCTCCCCGCCTGCTAGCTCATTTCCTTCAATTTCCTTTGACCTATGGGCTAAAAAAGAAAGGCTCATTCCAGCCACAGGGCAGCCTTCCCTGGGCCTTTGCTTCTCTAGCACAATTATGGGTTACTTCCTTTTTTCGTAACAAAAAAGAGTGTTTGATTTTTCTCCGGGGTGACCGTATTGCCTATAATTCAAACCCTATGGAGAGGTGATGTATGTGTTAGCCAATGACCCAGGTGAGCTGCTAGGGCTTCTCTTGGTATGTCTTGTTTGGAAAAGTGGATTTTATTAATTTCTGATTGTCCAGTTAAGTGATCACCAAAGGACTGAGAATCTGGGAAGGCAAAAAAAAAAAAAAAAAAAAAAAAAAAAAAAAAAAAAGAAAAAAAAAAAAAAAAGAAAAAAGTTTTTATGTGCACTTAAATTTGGGGACAATTTTATGTATCTGTGTTAAGAATAAGTTTAAGAACATAATTCTTTTGTTGCTGTTTGTTTAAGAAGCACCTTAGTTTGTTTAAGAAGCACCTTATATAGTATAATATATATTTTTTTGAAATTACATTGCTTGTTTATCAGACAATTGAATGTAGTAATTTTGTTCTGGATTTAATTTGACTGGGTTAACATGCAAAAGCCAAGGAAAAATATTTAGTTTTTTTGTATACTTTTCAAGCTACCTTGTCATGTATACAGTCACTGATGCCTAAAGCCTGGTGATTATTCATTTAAATGAAGATCACATTTCATATCAACTTTTGTATCCACAGTAGACAAAATAGCACTAATCCAGATGCCTATTGTTGGATGTTGAATGACAGACAATCTTAATGTAGCAAAGATTATGCCTGAAAAGGAAAATTATTCAGGGCAGCTAATTTTGCTTTTACCAAAATATCAGTAGTAATATTTTTGGACAGTAGCTAATGGGTCAGTGGGTTCTTTTTAATGTTTATACTTAGATTTTCTTTTAAAAAAATTAAAATAAAACAAAAAAAATTTCTAGGACTAGATGATGTAATACCAGCTAAAGCCAAACAATTATACAGTGGAAGGTTTTACATTATTCATTTAATGTGTTTGTATTCATGTTAAGATACTACTATGTTTGAAATGGGCAGAGAACATCAGATGACTGAAATGTTAGCCCAGGGGTCTCCAGCAACTTTGGAAATCTCTTTGTATTCTTACTTGAAGTGCCACTAATGGACAGCAGATAGTTTCCAGCTGATGTTGGTATTGGGTGTAGGAATAGGATAGAAAACTCTTGCCTCTGCTTTTCCCCCGCTCTGAGGCAAGTTAAAATTTAAAAGATGTGATTTATCTGGGGGCTCAGGGTATGGTGGGGAAGTGGATTCAGGAATTTGGGAAATGGCAAATATAATAAGAAAAATATTGAAAGTATTTGGAGGCAAATTAATTCTGGCACCTGGGGTGTGCATCAGGGTTCAGTAGTCCACTTCTGCCCTGGACACCACAAATAAACTAGCTCCATTTACAGCCATTTCTAAAATAGCAGCTTCAGTTCTAGAGAAGAAAGAACATCAGCAGTAAAGTCCAAGGAATAGCTAGTGGTCTGTGTTTATTTTACCCATTGCCTAGCTTGCCGTACTGATTCTGTAATGCCATCAATGCAGCAATTATGAGAGGCTAGGTCATCCAAAGAGAAGACCCTATCAATGTAGGTTGCAAAATCTAACCCCTAAGGAAGTGCAGTCTTTGATTTGACTTCCCTAGTAACCTTGCAGTTATGTTGAACCATGCCATATTCCATGCCTTTTGGGGGCTGAACAAATAAGGGACTTACTGATAATTTACTTTTGATCACATTAATGTGGTCTCATCTTGAAATCTTATAGGTTGAGATGGCCATTGATTTAGGCCATTGGCTTAGGGTACTCTCTCCCCTGCATGACACTGATTACAAATCCTTTCCTATTCATACTTTCTAATGATGAGAGGGACTGTGGGTACTGGGAATCATCACTAACACCATAGTCATGTCTAATATTCACAGGCAGATCTGCTTGGGGAAGCTAGTTGTGTGAAAGGCAAATAGAGTCATACAGTAGCTCAAAAGGCGACCATCATTCTCTTTGGTGCAGGTCTTGGGAGGGTGATCTAGATGACTCTGCACCATTCCCAGGTTAATCCCCTGAAAACTTACTCTCAACTGAAGCAAATGAACTGTGGTCCCAAATATCCATCTTTTCAGTAGCGTTATTATGCTCTGTTTCTAACTGCATTTCCTTTCCAATTGAATTAAAGTGTGGCCTCGTTTTTAGTCATTTAAAATTGTTTTCTAAGTAATTGCTGCCTCTATTATGGCACTTCAATTTTGCACTGTCTTTTGAGATTCAAGAAAAATTTCTATTCTTTTTTTTTGCATCCAATTGTGCCTGAACTTTTAAAATATGTAAATGCTGCCATGTTCCAAACCCCATCGTCAGTGTGTGTGTTTAGAGCTGTGCAACCTAGAAATAACACATTGTCCCATGAGCAGGTGCCTGAGACACAGACCCCTTTGCATTCAAAGAGGTCATTGGTTATAGAGACTTGAATTAATAAGTGACATTATGCCGGTTTATGTTCTCTCACAGGTGATAAACAATGCTTTCGTGCACTACATACTCTTCAGTGTAGAGCTCTTGTTTTATGGGAAAAGGCTCAAATGCCAAATTGTGTTTGATGGATTAATATGCCCTTTTGCTGATGCATACTATTACTGACGTGACTCAGTTTTGTCGCAGCTTTGCTTTGTTTAATGAAACACACTTGTAAACCTCTTTTGCACTTTGAAAAAGAATCCAGCAGGATGCTCGAGCACCTGTAAACAATTTTCTCAATCTATTTGATGTTCAAATAAAGAATTAAACTAGAGACAAGTTTGTTTGTTGTAAGCTTCACTTCTTGCTAGCAGTTCACCACTGATCACCTAAAATCAAGCTGGTTAAAGGATCGGAGCACACAGTGAGTCTGAATGCTAAGGCCCCTCCTCACCTCACTCCCTCTGCCCAACACTCCCAGGTGTTTCAGAAAGTGTGTGGACACCACGGTTAGGCAGATCTGGCTTCAACTCTTGGCTTCACCACTTACCTTACAAGGTTTATGATCATTTCAGAGTTTCGGCTACCTTATCAACAATATGATGATAAATAATAACACCTAATTCACAGGATGATGGTGAGGACTAAGTGAGTTGCTGTTTGCTAATGCCTGGCCCCAACTCCTTCCCTTTGAGGGAGAAGAAGGATGCTTGAGAGTGGTTATTTATGAATGAATGAGTGAATGGATCAATGAGTAATCTGAAACTATATAATTAAGCTTAAAAACTTCTCCCTTGGGGACATGACACACTGGGGCCTGTTACGGGTTGGGGAGCTAGGGGAGGGATAGCAGGGGGTGGGGGTTTTGGGAGGGATAACATTAGGAGAAATAATGTAGATGACTGGGTGATGGATGCAGCAAACCACCATGGCACGTGTCTATGTGACAAACCTGCATGTTCTGCACATGTACCCCAGAACTTAAAGTATAATAATAAAAAATAAAATTAAATTAAATTAAAATAGAAACCTCCCCCTCATTCTGAAGGTAAACCACAAACAATTGATCCACCCCCACCCCAGGTTTCCATTTCAGGGCTCCCTTCCTCTTTTAGAGCTACCTGTGTGCTTCCTTTACCCATTTCCTCTGATTTAATTGATGAATTGGGACGGGGTGGGAATAGGACTCATAATATACACAAGGCTCTGCAGCTAGATTACTCTTTGAATCCTCATTCAACCATTTTTTTTTGGCATCACCTTGGGCAAGTTAATTTCCCTGGGCCTCAGTTTCTTCACTTGTAAAGAGAGATGACAGTGCACCTGCCTGGAAGGGTTCTTATGAAGACCACATGGTTTGTTCATAGAGAGTATGGAAGGAACGTGGCTAACTCTGCTTTTCCCTTACCAGAGTCTTCCAAAAATGCATGTTGGACTCATCTCTTTATTAGGATGGGTTGAGGGTCTTCACACTGAGTCACTTGGATTCGAGGAAGCTAATTTATTTTCTTGTCCAAGCATTCCCTTGGCAAGTTCTTCAATCCCTCTCTTCAATGGTTTCCTCATTCCTAAAATAGAAATAAGAATAGCACTTACCCCCACAGCAGTACTGTGAAGATTACAAGAGGTGGACATATGAAGTGCCCAGGATAGTACTGCGCATAGTCAGCATTCAATCCATGGTAGCTATTTTTAGTGCAATTATTGTTGCCCTGCCTACAATTTACATCTACATTTAGTAGAATGATGGATATGTTTAGATTTACATTTTCCATGTTATTATCATTTTGCCTCCTGTCTGTTTTGTTCCTCTGTTCTTCTTACTGCCTTTCATTGTTTTAGTGACATTGTGGTAAAATAAGAAATGTATATTTGGACTCTGGCTCAAGGTTCTGAGACAACTTCTAAAACTCTTGTAGACAGGTGTGCTAGGAGGCTCTTTTGTTCTAATATTTGGTCTTTGACCTTGGTTTCTAAAACAGAGCCCCCAAATCCCTTGGAATTTCCTGGGCAATAGAAACTTCTTTTGTTCTAATGAGGCAGCTCCTGGCGGGCTCCCGGATAACCTCAGGATGGGGAGTCAGCCATTGAATAAAAGGGTCGGAACTTTCAGCTCTACCCTTTGACTTCTAGAGAGGCTCTGGAGAGGGGCTGATGGCTGAATAGATTATCAATGGCCATTGATGGAATTAATTATGTCTATGTAATGAATCCTCCATAAAAAACCCAGGAGGACAGTGTTCAGAGAGCTTCTGGATTGGCGAACGCTTGGGGGTGTCTGGAAGGTGGAGTGCCTGGAGAGGACACGGAAGCTCCTCGCGCCTTCCCCCATGCCTTACTCTCTCCATCTCTTCATTTGTCCATCTGTATCTTTTTCATTATCCTTGATAATAAACTGGTAAATGTAAGTGAGCTCTCCTGTGACTGCAGCAACAAAACTGTCAGTCTTTCTACATGCCTTATTCTGGTGCTGACCACATGGTGGGGAGGTAAGGGTGGGAGCAGTCCCAGGCAAGAATGCCACCAATCTGCACTGTACTTACCCAAATTTCAGCACTTTTCCAATATAAACATTTCTCAGATTGTTAGATGTCTCTGATCAACTCGCAGAGTGCTGAAATGGTTGTTTTTGTCAATTTTCTTTGAACTTATAGTTTCTTTTGGAGTGAGGATTTGCCAGTACTCTCACTCAGCCATAGCTAGGGGTCTCACCTCTCCACATACCTTGTCCCTCCTTTATTTCCCTTGTCAGAACACCAAGGAGCAGACTTGTTGACATGTGGCCTGTGTTATTTCTGGTGATCAGCAAGGTTTGGAGAGAATACTTAGCAATCTATTGAGATTTTAAATGTACCTATTGCAGTGTCTCAATGTAGGGATGCCTGAGTGGGGCCTGATTACATGCTGGGTAAAGATCACATTCTCCAGTGTTAGGTAGCCTTAAGCCTTTGGAGACATTTAAATTCAGAATTACCATGTTTAGATTTGCTTCTCTAAAAACATAGCATGTATACTGTATTAGTCCACTCTCACACTGCTAAAAAGAAATACCGGAGACTGGGTAATTTATAAAGAAAAGAGGTTTAATTGGCTCACGGTTCTGCGGGCTGTACAGGAAGGATGGCAGCATCTGCAGGGCTTCTGGGGAGGCCTCAAGAAACTGTTAATCATGGTGGAAGGTGAAGGGGAAGCAGGTACTTCTTACTTGGCTGGGAGAGAGGTGGGGAGGCACGACACACTTTTCAATAACCAGATCTCACAGTAACTCACTCACTCACTATCACAAGGATACTACCTGAGGGGATGCTGCTAACCCATTCAGGAAAACTCCACCACCAGGATCCAGTCACCTCCCACCTCCAACTAGGGATTACAATTTGACCTGAGAGCTGATGAGCACGCAGATCCAAACTACATCAGATGCCTTGAAGAAATAAATTTTCATCGTTTTCATTATTTGGACTATACGCATTAAGAAGCTAGTTTTAAGTTCAGGTTCATGGTGGCTTACAATGACAATATTTGTAAATACCCTAGAAGAGCGGAGCTGAGACCACAGAAAAGATATTCATTCAAGACAGAGATATACTTTCTAACAGAACTGCCTATAGATAATTTGGGGGACCTGTTGAAGACAAGGTTGGGGAGAATTTCCTGCAACAGAAGGCACCTCTGCATGGATCCACAGCAATGAAGCTACAATGTTATTGAAAAGCCTCCCACAGCAGATGGAATGAGCTTTGATTTTTCTTTCTACTCTGAGACAACATACACACACACATTCATACGCACAAAAGCTAGGTACCAGTTTTACATCACTTTTTTCAGGTAATCCTCACAGCTACTGTGTAAGGATAAATTATTATATTTTACAGATGAGGAAACTGAAGCCTAAGACAGTTAAGTAACTTTGAAAGGTCAGAAATCTTGTGAATGGCAGACATGAAATTAGTCTTTCTGACTTTAAACATGAGTGGACTTCTTAGACTAGGGTTGAGTTTCCTAGGAATTACTGAGAGTTACTGAGTACCTATAACATTTTATTCAAGGAACAGAGTGAATGTTAGTTTTGCATGTAATGCCTATCAGTGGTAGACTGTATAAAGAAAATGTGCCATATATGCATCATGGAATACTATACAGCCATAAAAAAAGAATGAGATCTTGTTTTGTGCAGGAACATGGATGGAGCTGGAAGCCACTATCTTTAGTAAACTAAGGCAGAAACAGAAAATCAAATACTGCCTGTTCTCACTTATAAGTGGAAGATAAATGATGAGAACACAGGGACACATGGAGGGAAACAACACACACTGTGGCCTACTGTGGGGCAGAGGGTGGAAGGAGGGAGACAAACAGGAAAAATAACCAGTGGGTACTAGGCTTAATACCTGCATGATAAAATTATCTGTTTATTTTATCACAAGTGCTTCCCTCACTGGGGTTGAGCCCCAAAACCGGTCTGTGCCTGGCATCCTCGAGGGACCAAGACCATATGTAAAGCAGCTGCCAGGGAAAGGGACATGGACATGGTTCCTGCTGCTGCCTGTATCCTCTCTCTGCCCTTCTCTCCTCCCCTCCAGCCTGTGGTCTGGGGCCCTGGATATTGAAACATTTTCTTTCTGGTTGGAAATGTGGAAATACTCAGGAATCTTTACAGCTTAAACTCCCGCAAGACCATCTCATGGCCCAGGAAGAGACCACAGCCCACAGTGAAGGCACCAAACCCCCATGACACACATTTACCTGAATAACAAACCTGCACATGTACTCCTGAACCTAAAATAAAAGATTGAAAAAAAATCTCATTGAAACAAGTGTTCACATTTTCTGAGGAGAAGGAAAAACTCATATGAACTTTTTTTTTTTTTTTGAGACAGAGTTTCGCTTGTTACCCAGGCTGGAGTGCAATGGCGCGATCTCGGCTCACCGCAACCTCCGCCTCCTGGGTTCAGGCAATTCTGCCTCAGCCTCCTGAGTTGCTGGGATTACAGGCACGCACCACCATGCCCAGCTAATTTTTTGTATTTTTTTAGTAGAGACAGGGTTTCACCATGTTGACCAGGATGGTCTTGATCTCTTGACTTTGATCTCTTGACCTCTTCCTCCCAAAGTGCTGGGATTAGAGGTCATATGAACTTTTAATGAAAAAGGGGTTATTTCATCAAAAGTGCTGGGATTAGAGGTCATATGAACTTTTAATGAAAAAGGGGTTATTTCATATGGCCCATTGGACAGGATACTGAAAGCTATGCCACTCAAGTCCTGGGTCTTTCTGGTGGGTGGCTGCTGGGTAGAGAAGCTTGAGGAGCACTTCTGCCATCTTCCTGAG